TAGACTGTCAGATTTGCAGGTGTACTGTAAAGTGTTAAAATGTCTGAATTATTGCTAGTTAAGAACGTGGGAAGTAGGTAGTTGTCATGGCCAAATAAATATTAAATGTGTTTTTTCATGGTAATAGAAAACTTGTAATGATATTAGAACTTTTTCAGTAATTTAGCCAAATAATCTCGCTAAACCCAGCACTTCTCTCGTAATATTCCGCTCAGCTGCGTAGCACTAGTCAAGTAAACCGTGTTCTAACTATATGCTTCTCGGCATTACCAAAATCCAGTACGCTATACCTCTTCAAATTCAGGTTTATTTTATGACATTGATATCTGTTTCTACTTTGCAGTAAAACATCTTCGAAAGAAAAGTATAGTCACCTATTTGCATGCCTATGTATCCTGTGGAAACTTTGAAACAGTGAAACATTTAAAGATATTTCCCAAATTAGTCAAACGAAGTTTGTTTTTACACGAAATTCTTTTTCCCTTATTCCCATTTAGAATAATCACTTTCTCATTAGCTTTCTTGAATTGGTTGCTTTCGGCTAAGAATGAGAATTGTTGAAGATTTCAATTTCTCCTAAAATTGAAGGTTCGGAAAGCTTTTTCTGAAAGATTTACACATTAGTTCTCATAATCTCAATTATTCGATAAGATTCCAAAACATTTTCAAGTGAACGATTCATCACTTTCGAACGAATTTATCATGGATAAATCGCCTCAGGTATGTCTCAAATAGCTAAACAGATGTTTTTATACCAAATGTCTATACCACCCACTCATCTCAAATCATAATGGGTGTGATGGAGCTCATCAAATCTTGAGGAATGAGTTAACCTAACGGTTTGCCCAAGAGGTGCTGCAGTACATCATAAGCGGATTGACGGCTTCCTAACATTTTTCCTGTTAGTCCCCTTCTTAATTCCATAACGGTTGAAGTCAGGCTACTAAAGTCATGCTGAATTGTGGAATTATGTCGATGTACAACTGTCCATTTTCCGCTTATAGAGTCACTCCGACTGCCTTCATACTTTTATTAGTAAGTACAGTCTTACCATTAACGAATAAACCATCTTCTTTCTTTTACAAACTATCAATAATACTTGAGCGCTTAAGAGCAACCTACTAATTTTTACTATAACTTGCAATTCCTGAGATTTTTTTGGAAATACTGCTGCTCCAAATCTCTGACCTTCCTAGTAAATTCTTTTTGAGTTAATGTAATTGTCAATCAAAGAATGAATCTGCAAGCGACAATCAAAATGATAAAATCAATAAATACTGAGTAGTAGTTTTAAATCATGCGGTTTAATTTCATAACATGAGAAGATTTTAATAAATGAAACAAGCGAGTTCAATGTCAGAAGAGTATAGGACTTAAAGAACTAACCTTTACCCTCATCTAATTACTCCTGACTTAATGATGGCGACTATATCTTTCAATTAGCCTTATCATGGCTGTCGTACTTGTTTTTTTCATTAACAGTCAGATGTGTAAGGGATAAGGTCAATTTCATGATATTGCGTGTGGAAGATCATACCATCTTAACGCAATAAATCCGATATATCCGATTTCAGCACTTACGTTAATGATTTGCTGCCTATATTTTGCTCGAAACTTCTTCATTTCGTAATGCTTTCTTTCTTTCAGATCTACTGCTATGCTGTCAATGGCTTCTCTATCTTTTGTAATGGAATTCTGCTCATTCTGTCATCGCACAAAAGTGTCGAGGCAATTCAGGTGCTTCAGAGAGTGTAAGAGAGCTTGAGAAGTTTCTGTTCAATGCAAATCTTCCAGGAGCTTCGCTACTTTCTCTCGAACATTTCTGTTGCTGGTGTAGTGCTCTCGTTATGTCTGCTTCTCATTCAGCCGCAAATGGTTACTCGAGGACCAATGTGTATCCGCGTACCTCATGGACCGCTTAGTATCCTAAACGCAGACATTGTGGTACGCTTTTGAGACTAATACTGTAAACTTTAACTGACACTTTTCCAAGCAAAAGTCGTAGATTCGTTTTTGAAAACCGAGGAACACCAGTATAGTAACTTCTTTGACAAAAAATTAACATGCCCAAATATGCTAAACACTTCTAAGTCAAAAGAAAATGTATTCATCAAAAGAGTGATAGATTGGCTTTTGATCCCAGAAGTTTTTAGC